TCCCTGCCCGAAGCTCACAGAGCCCGAGCGGCCCGAGCTCCAGAGAGGAGGCCATCCTTTGAGCAGACTGATTCCGAGAGTCGTTTTCGTCGCTCTGCCGTTCTCTTGCACCGATAGCGGACGTCCCATGAGTGCGAGAGAGACAGACCACGGTAACGACTCTCGGAGTCAGTCTGCTGACGAGACAAAACGCTCATGCTAATTCCCGCCAAAATCCAGACGCGGCGTGCGCCGTGCTCGCCGTACTCGCGGAGGGCGAGATGCGACCTTTGTCTTCTGCTGATACATATGCAAACGCCCAAACAAAAGGCACTTCCACTTTCAGAGGGAAAGAAAGGTCAAGAGCGAGAGAGGGCACCGACTCCCCGACTCGAAAATAACTAACGATCGGCAGATGCTTGGGTCCTGCCAAATCACCGACGTGTGTTCACTTACTCTGTCTCTCTCGCACGCATCACGGGGCGCCCTGCGAGTGCGAGAGAGACAGAGCGGAATCGGCCTGCAGTGCATCGCCTTGAATGCGCCTCGAAAGCTGCCCGGGCCGGGCCGGGCCGGCAGTGAGGGCACTGAAGGCGCGGACGCGCGGACCGCAAGGAAAATGACTTTCGGTTCCGTTGCCTTGGCTACTCGGCTGCCGCCTGCCTTTTGTTTACAACTAAACTGTCGTCTGCTGCGTCGTCTGCTGCGTCAGCCAGGCACCGCCTTCCTTGCCTTTGGCTTGCCTTTGGCTTGCCTTTGGCCGGCCGTTCCTCGCCGCGCTTCCGAGCGCCGAATTTCACGTTCCGAACCCCGTAAGGTTAAGAAGGCGTCGTGCGACGCGGAGCGCTGCGGAGCGCGGAGTGGAGACAAGCCGCGCCAAGCCGGCAAAACACAATAAAATCCGGTGACGCTGCGCTTCGTGGCGACGGCACCGACGGCACGGCCAGCCATTCCGAACGGCGCTTTCGTCGCTCTGTCTCTCTCGCACTCGCGGCGCGCTCCGACTGGGTGCGAGAGAGACAGCGCGAGGCTGGCGAGGCGCCGCGCGGCGACGTCGTGCACTTCCATACCGGCATGCCGGGGCACCGTCCTTGCATTCAAGGGCCTTTAAGGCGCGGCGTGGCGCCGCCAAACAGTTAGTGGAAATCGTGATAGGCACACGCCCAGCGCTGGCGGTGAAGTACGCCGTGGTGCTGGCCGAACCACAGTGGGCCAGCAGACCGATGGGGGCGGTCAAAATCCCGGACGCGTTTTGAGCTCCAGGCTAAATGGGACTCGAACCGAACGGGTGACCCCACCAATGGATTGCTCTCCGAACGAGGAATCCATTGGTGGGATCACGCGCTCGGTTCGAGTCTCATTTAGCGACCCTGGAGCTCAAAACGCGTCTAGAGTTTTGGCCGCCGGCCCACTATGCGGCGCTGTTAGTACTGTTGGTGCGACGCGCGAGGCATGTATACTTCCGCGATTTCCAGCGGCATGGCGGCGCCCGGTTTCTCCCTGAGGACCTCCAGGGGGTCCCCAGAGTGTCCTAGAGTGTCCTAGAGGGGCTCCAGGGGCCCCAGGGGGTCCGCCGGGAGGCGCGGTGCCTCACGGGCACGCAGGGGGCCCTTGACACAGAGGGTGTGCCCTCCTCCGGCGCGACCTCCTTCACCTCCTCGCCGCCACGACCGCCACGACTCACTTGGCGACGACGCACTCGCTGCGCGCACTGCGCGTGCTAATGACCCGTCATTACCCGCCAATTGTTTGGATTTTGCCGCCGAGACGCGCGCAGCCCGGCGCAGCCCGGCGCAGCCGACAACGAGACTCGAACGAGTCTCGAACGAGTCTCGAACAAGTCTCGAACGAGGCGGGGCGCACCGCGACGCGATGCGTTCGGAACGCGCTCACCAACCCAGGCGACAAACAGTGCGCACGACGCGCTCCGTCTCCCTCGCACCCCTAACGCCCTATGAGTGCGAGAGAGACAGCGCGATGGATCCTTCGGGATGAGGTGGCTGTAGAGCCGCAGCGGCGGGATTCTGTCGTCGTCCGGACAACCAGCCCGACCTTTGTCGCGCTGGTCAAACTTGGGTCGGGTCGACGTGTACCAAGGGAAAGGGCACGATGACCACGACGGCAACTTTCCAGACGCGTTTGGAACTCTACGATCCTCAGACAGGGCTCGAATCGAACGCATAAGGGTACCAACGGATTCCTCGTTCGAAGGGCGATCCGAAGGCACCCTCACATGGTCCGTTTCGATGAGTTTTGAGCATGCCACACCAATGCAAGCAGTCCCCATCGATATCGGTTGTCGCAGGAAACGCAACAAAAGACAGAACGACCACCACTGGAGGCGATCTTCGGAACCGATCTCCCGGCGTTTGTCCGAGAGAGGCTACACAGACTGACTCCGAGAGTCGTTTTCGTCGCTGTCTCTCTCACACCTGTACGGAACGCCACGTGAGTGCGAGAGAGACAGAGCGACGTAAACGACTCTCGGAATCAGTCTGCAGCCTGAGGTCGCTGACGCAGACGTCGTCCGCTGTCATGGAAGTGCACACACGCACTCGGCTACGCCATGGCTACGCTCGGCGCGTCGAGGCGTGGCGCTGCTGCCTTCTCTCTCGCACTCGCGAGGCGTCCCGCATAGTCCCGCAGGGGTGCGAGAGAGACAGAGCGACGAGACGCCGTTCGGAACCGGCCTGCCGCGGCACTGAAAGGACCGCCAGCGCCCTTGGGGGACGACGCGACGTCGACGCGCTGCAGTCGTTTTCGTCGCTCTGTCTCCCTCGCACCTACACAGGACGCCCCACGAGAGCGAGAGAGGCAGAGCGACGAAAACGACTCTCGGAATGAGTCTTGCTGCCCGCGCTGCCCGGAGGTCCTTGATTTGTTCCTGTTCTTTGTTGCCTCTTGATTCTTTTTCTTCTTCTCTTTCGTTCCTCCTCATTGTAGTCGCGCGTTGCGCGTTGCGTGCGATACGTCTTTCACGTCCAGGACCATTGTTGCCAATTTTCGGCTCCACCGCGCCCACGCAGCGCCACGCTACTGCACGCACGACCGCCACGCGTGCGTCGTTTTCTTGCTTTTCGTCCTTCCCCGACTGACTGTCAGCACGCTGGTTCCGAACGCCGCTTTCGTCGCTGTCTCTCTCGCACCCCTGCGGCACCCCGTTAGGGAGCGAGAGAGAGAGAGAGAGACAGACTGCGACCACCGCGCAGTGGGCCAGAGGGCCTGTGGAAGCGGTCGAAGTTCCGGACGCGTTTCGAGCTCCAGAGTCGCTAAATGGGACTCGAACCGAACGTCGTGTGACCCCACCAATGGATTCCTCGTTCGGAGAGCAATCCATTGGTGGGGTCACACGGTCAGTTCAAGTCCCATTTGGTGACTCTGGAGCTCGAAACGCGTCTAGAGTTTTGGCCGCCTGCGCCGGTCTTCTGGTAAATCCACTGTGCGGCGCGCCGCGGCGGTCCCCAGCACGCGGAGTGCGCAGTGCGGCACCGAGATTGGGCAAGGCGGCAAGGCCGATCACGTGCCCGCCTCGCGTGTTCAAGTCTCCGGGGTAACCAAAGGGTCGCGCCGAAAACCCGAAAACCGGCCGCGGAGTCATTGTTGTTAAGTTGGCAGCGCCGGCAGGCTGATTCCGAGAGTCGTTTTCGTCGCTCTGTCTCTCTCGCACCAATACGGGACGCCCCATGAGAGCGAGAGAGACAGAGCGACGAAAACGACTCTCGGAATCAGTCTAGAGAGTCTTAGTCGTCTCCGCCCGGAACGGCGCGCCAGGCGAAGGTGGGTACAGTGCGTCACCCCGGACGTTGTTGATGACCCTTGACCCTCCGGGTGGGTCCAACCGCAGAGTCGTCTCGTCGCTCTGTCTCTCTCGCACCCCTGCGGGGCTCCCCACGAGTGCGAGAGAGACAGAGCGGCGCAAGCAGCGCAGGTGTCACGGCCGATCAGCTGCTCGTCCGGCCAGCGGAGCCAGCGGGGCGCGGAAGTGACAATGGCGAAGGGCCCTCGCCGAGCGCACGCCAGCCACGCCGTCCACAAATGACGTAACGCGAACGTGGCGACGCGCACAGTGGGCCAGAAGACCGGTGGAGGCGGCCAAAATTCTAGACGCGTGTTGAGCTCCAGAGTCGCTGAACGGGACTCGAACCGAACGTGTGACCCCACCAATGGATTGCTCTCCGAACGAGGAATGCATGGGGTCACGCACTCGGTTCGAGCCCTATGTTTAGCGGCTCTGGACGTCAAAACGCGTGTAGAATTTTGGCCGCCTCCACCAGTCTTCTGGCCCACTGTGCTGCGGCATCCTTGGGCCGTCTAGGCCGGCCGGCTGGCAACGGCCTGTGCCAACGGCCTGCATCGGTCCAGCGCACAGGCCGCAGGTTCACGACAAGGCCGCTCTTCTCTTTTCCACGAGGTTGTCGCCCTGATGACCTTAGCCCCCCCCTCCCCCGCTTTTTTCCGGCTCCCGAAACAAAATAAAAAGTTTCGTGAAGTGCTCATAAAGAATGCACGCGGGGAGATGTTATTAGAATACGCTTCCGGCGTGGTAGCGAGGTGCGGAGGCGGACTAGGCAGCTGACTGATTCCGAACCGATTTCATCGCTCTGGCTCTCTCGCACCCATAGGGAACGCCCCGTGAGTGCAAGAGAGACAGCGACGAAAACGACTCTCGGAATCAGTCTGCAGAGCCAGCGGGGGTAGTCGGAAGACAGAGACAGGCCTGCGAAATCTGAATCAGCTGTCCACCTCTAGGACTATGGCAGAATGGTTTCCCAATAGTGCGTTGCCTGTTGCCTACCCACGCGGCTGCGAGCGCGGTAGCGTCGGTAGCGTCGGTAGCGGGCCGAAGCCGATGGGTTGCCTAGTTGCCGGCGCCAAGTCCTCCAATACTCCAATCGCAGACCACACTGCGAAATCCAAGTTTTCAGATGAGTTGCCTACCTTTCGACGCAGCGCTGGATCCTTTCAAAGCCTGAAAAGCTACCGCCAATCTACCGTTGCTTGGACTAGGGTCTAGAAACATATCACATTGAGATCTGAAATTTATTTTAGCAAGTTACGGGCTGATAATTTATGTTACAGTTTGTTAAGATAAATAATTGTAATGATAAATAAATTATGGATTATTAATTAACCTGGGCTGCCTGATGAATAAGTTGTTTAATTTTGTGTGGAAGAAGTTCCACCATTTCCTTGCAGACGGGTAATTCCAAAGCTACTTGCTTTTCTGCCTCAGGATTGACGGTACAGTAGTCAACGATGAACTAAAAAATTAAGGATAATGAATGGACAATCTTGCAGTCGCTGGAAACGCGAATTTGTCTGTTCATTATGCCTCTGAACCTACCTTGAAGCTTGCTAGACTTTTCCTATTGTTTTCTACCTTTTGTTCTCCATCACATGTAATAAGCCGGGCAAACAACCGACCCCTGAAAAAGTGACAGCTGAGAACAGGCCGCACAAATTCTGGTTCCAGCTTAATATCCTTGATGCTAGAGCTGAAAAAAGTTTAAAAATCATACACATTAAAAACTTGTTGCTAAGTACATCCAAGATGTATGTAAAAAAATCTTTTGGGTGCTTTTGCTAACAAAAACAAGCACTTACCCATCACTGTACACAGACGATAAAAAATATCCGAAATTGTCAATGCTCTTTTGAGTCAATGAGTTAAGTTTGCTGAGCACATGAGGATCGGGCATAGTTTTTTCATGATTTTCATCTCTAATTTTTCCTAACTTAAGATGAAGCATTTCGAAATATGTTTGCCCTAACTCATACCACATTTGCCGACATAGCACCAAGTAGCACTGGTGGTTCAGTGATGAAAGCAATTGCTCTAGCATGTCCACCCGTCGCTTGTGCATTCGACATTGTCTGTAAGGCACGATGGACAGAACAGTCAGAATTTCAAACAATCACCCAAAACCAAAGTCAGAATTGAGACTCCTACCTTTTCTCATCAGCTTCAAAGAACGCAAGGACCTGGAAAAGAGCACTGCTATCCTGTGTGATTCTCACAAAATCGGATGCATGCTCATTCAATGTGTAGTACTCTTTGGCATCCTCTAGCCACTGCTTGGTGAAGTGAAACACGGGAAGGGCATCTTCGTAATCCAGCACAAACTTATCGCAGACCTGATTTTCATAAGTCGGTATTTCTAACGTTGAGAAGAGAAGACCACTAATATCATCTGAAGCAGGAGTCAGGACTGTTAAAAATTGAACGGTCAATAAAAATAAGTTACTTGAGAATCAGTCAAATTTACCTAGAGATGTTGTTGTTTGATCAGGGGCTAGCTGCTTGGTCAGATCAGTGGTGGGGCTCTCTGTGTCATCATTTTCATCAGCTCGAGCCATAAGCCTTTCTTTTGACGATTCTAAAAGTAGAAGTCCATATTTGGCCCAGCATCGAGCAACATCTGCACTACGGTGCTTATATCTTTCTTTCCTAGAAAAGAGAGTTAATTCAAAAAATAAAGACTAAACAATGTCCCTAAAACAAGGAAGAGATTCAATGAATACAGCATTGGTTTACTTTGCTTCTTCTTCCTCTGAAGAGCCTTCCAAGCATTTTATTTGCTCATCATAATATTTCTCCAGCACATATGAAGATGCAGCAAGGTGGTGCCTTGCTTGTTTAAAACCATTACGTGTCATAAAGAATTGAGATAGTGTGGCAGCATTCAAGGCCCACTCAATCGGATCATAATCTTTGCTTTCAAGCTGCCTCTTCAGAGTGTTGTGACAGTAGACAGCAGAACGAAGTTCATCTTTCAATGTGCCATATATCTGTAAACAGATCATTTAGTGAGAGGATCTTAACTTACCATTTTTGTGATCAATCCAGGATTGCACAAAGAAATGTTAATTTACTTGAGCTAAATAATAAAGTGTCAGAGTATGACTTTTTTCCAAATCGCTCTCAGCTTTGGAACGAGGAGACGTCAGATCAGATTTATCAGCTTTGAAAAGGTCCTGAACACGAAAAGCTTCCGGAGGATCATGTTGTTCTGTGAATTGTTTATAAAGACTTTCAGCTTCTTCCAAGTATTGTTTTGATTTTTCAGGCTGCTCCAACATTGAATAAAGCACTCCTAAGTGGTTGAGCGCATTAATCCTCAGAATGACAAACCGAGGGTGCAGAGGCTTTTCTTTCGTGATATCCAAAACATTTTTAAGCTCTTCTGCACTTGCTGACAAGGTCTCTGTCTCATAAGATATGACACCTAGGCCCAGCCAAACAGCAGCAAGCATTCCTGACAGTATTTCACTTGCATTGCTGTCATGAAAACTGTCTATCAGAGTGATAACATCAGTTTTTATTTGTGAGAGCACTTCAGCGGCAGCATATTTAGATCTGTAGGGTTCAGTTTCTGGATCTTTCTGACAAAGCAGTTCTTCAACTTTCTCGTACTTCTCTTGAATCTCCATCAGATAATTGACTTTGATGTCAACCATGATTTTAGTCTGAAAAATGACAGAAAGTTGAACAATTGGGTATGGGGAAACATGGTTTGAAAGACAAACATGCATCAAATATTCGTGAAAGGTGATGTACCTTGATAACTGAGCGGAACTAACAGTTTGCAAAATGCAGTGCGAGACGACAGACGGCAGTAGCGACAAATAAATGAAGACAAATCGATGAAATGGTTATTTCCTTCCTGCTTCGAACAGCAGACGGCACCAGTTTGGCTACTGCAGCTACTACAGCAACATCGTCACTGTCGTCTGCAAATATGAGAAATTAAGCTCTATCTGGGTTAGAAACTGAAGAAACAGGTTAGAAAGTTTATAATAATGAAGATTTGAAACTGATTCTTCCATGTCTCCTCCTAGATGGATTTAAAATCATGGATAAAACGCCCGGCATCGTTTCTAGCGGCCCACTATTAAAAAAGTTGCCTTCGTTCAGTTCTCGCGGCTTAGCGGCGGCGTTCGTGGGAGGCTCCCTCTGTGTTGGGTCTTTTATTTTTGCAACGAACACAGTGGCTTTAGACTGGAATAAAGTACTTCTACAAGCGAAAAGGTATTTTTTTTCTCCTCGAATTTAAATTTACTTTTTCATCACACTTATCCAACATTTCTTTTTTTTACATTCAGGAACAATGCTGCCGTTGAGCCTGCACCCAAATTGAAAACTCTTCTCGATAAGGTTACAACTGATCTGAAACTGTCCGATTCAGAAAAGAAATCTGTAAAACTGTTTACCTCTGAATCAGACATCTGTGAAGTTTTCGGAACTGTAATATTTCCTCATGGTGCGCTTTTGGGATTACCAGAAACTGCTAATGCGGAGAGTGTAGCAGATATCACTCTGGACATAAAATGGGTAAAATTTGGTCTTTTTTAATGAATTACTTCTATTATTGGCTTGGGCATCTCAACTTCCTTGGTTGACATAAGTTTTTTTTCCAGGAAGACGAAAAAAGGCCAAAGAAAATCACCGAAAAAATTGAGAGGCTGAAAGAAGTGTCAGTACTGAGTGACGCTGCGAAGCAGTTCGTTATTGCAGAAGGACTGGTTTTGGCAAGAGATTATAATCATTTCACCGCCCCAGCACTTTGTGCATCTTTATGTGTCCTGACAAGTTTTGTACAGGGATCTTTATTTTCTTTGGGGGCCAGTATTAAAAAACACCCTCAAATGAAAGGTCCTGTTTACTTGGCATCTTTTATAATGTGGGCTTGTGCTGGAGCATTTGTATCAGGAAAAGTTAAGGAACTTCAGTTGAGAGAAGATATGGGTCATCTCAGCAAGGAATACGTAGACGGTGGTGTTGAATTTTATGAGAAGTTGCAACAGCAACTACAGCTAAAAAAGGATTTATGTGGAGAAGAAATAGCCAATTTTTTTGGAAGTTACTATCTTGTTGAAATTGTTTCTAAGAGATTGTCGAATTTGAGAAAATTGCAGTCAAAGTTTGGGTTTGAAAGCCTGTGAACCTGAACTCTTGTGGATGTATTCCATAAAGAATAGGACAAATAAATTTTTTTTTACATGTTTTCACAGTAGTTTTATTTTTTCAAATAAGGAAGGGGGAGGGAGGGGGATATAAACAAGGTGGTTAAATTTTGTAAAACAAATCACAGCAAAGAAGAAATAACATAGCTTCCTACTACAAACGAATTTATAAGCTACAACAAAAGGAACCACACATTAGTAAAGCTGTGACTGACAAAAAGCTTCATCACGCTGATGTAAAAGATAACAATAATTAAACTAAAGACTCTCAATGGCAAGGATGTAACAGTAGAGTTAAAACCGTCTTAAACTTGCTTCATTTTTACATATTTCTCAAGTCTTACCTGCCGTAGTCATAAATATCACACAAATATCAAAGAAAAATTCTTTTTAAAAGAAAGATTTTTTTTAAATGAATGAACAAAGGCCTCTCCAATCACAGATGTCAAGATGGATACACGCGACGAATCCGAGTAGCACTTTTGAGATGCTAGAAAGTAAAGTAATGACAAGATGCACATAAAATAAAGTTCTTTAAGTGTTACATGAGTACACTTTAGATTTTATTCAAGCAAGTCATGGAATGTGTAAATCCAAAATGAGGATCTGTCTTCCTTCATCACATAAAGAAAAGTCCAGTACAATTTGAATTGTCCCAAAATTAACTTGCTTTGTAGAAATCTATGAATGTAGCTCAGCATAAACTTAGATGATGCAGCCATAACAACACTTCCCATAACAATTACATAAAATGCCAAGGGTGAGACAAAAATACTGATATCAAAATTGAGAAATACATAGTTAATTTCACACTTCAGTATTTCTTGACCAAGTTTCACAGACTCCCCCGCAGCTACTGTCTATTGGCAAATGAATGTCGAAAAAATTTTGCAGAAAAATAAAAACACAAAAAATCCGCATGAGTAAAATTTTTCAGTCAACAATCTTTAAAAGAAATTTTAAAACAATAAATGAGAATCAGTACGTATTTTACATTACATTGTATTCATACATATATGAATGAACATTTACAAATAATTTTACTGTGATGCACTAATGGGTATTGCACTTATTTCAATTAAGCTACTTAACCTACATACCATATATGACAGTGGAAATAAATGTTTTGAACAACATTGCACTTATCTATAAGTTACATCCATTATGAAGGGGCAGTGTCTATGCAACTATATTGCACTAAAGAAAAAAAAGGGTACCACAAGGTTATCAAGGCCAAGCAAATGTTCTGGGTTCAAGCACATTTAGTTCAGCAAATTTAAAAAGTAGAATCATTCACATCGCCATTGTCAGCTACAGTATTTATTTGATATGGCACTGATGAGAACATTGTAGGTATACATACTTCAAGAACACCATCTTTCTCTAATTCAGTAAAGTCCAAATTTTGAATTGAACCTGGCAAAGAGGGAGCATTTCCACTCATGATGCGGTCATCATACAAAGAAAACCTTGCAGCAAATCCTCTTCCTCGATTTCTCCGTACCGATGCAGGAACATCCCCAGGAGTTTTGACTCTTAAGGTTGGGTCTTTAAGTTTCCAATCAGCTGAAGAACTAGCAAATAAATCCTGAAATTCAACACTAAGACGCTTTTTGCTGGCATTTCCTGATGGGGTTTTTGGCCTCATGCGAGGAAGTGATAATGTTGTTGGTCTCAGAGCAGGGCTTAATGTTACAGCTGTCGTATTCTGTGATGACTCACTCTTGTCCCCATCTGCATCAAGGACTGTTGTGATCACCCCTCTGGGTTTGTTAAGCAACACCTGTGTCTCTCTTCCAGATGGGAGGCTGAGTCGCCCATCAGTTCCTTCTGGGCCACTAACCTTCCACGCTTCATCTTTAAGTCCGTTTGTAACTTTCTTCTTTGATTCAAATAACTTGCGTAGTCCACCAGTCCACTGTAAGAACTTTGTGTGCTTGGGGGGAGAGTCCTCTGTATTGGCTTGCTGTGAACTGCATACCACATTTTGCACGTAGGGAATAGGTGTGATGGGTCGCAGGGCTGAGCTTGTATTCAACTGAGGTTGGTGCTGGGTTTGATTTAGAAAATCATTAGACACCAATGCTTGCGTATCTGTACAACTGCTGGTAGAATGGCAAGGTCCTTGCGGAGTGTGCTTTGACGAACGATCCACCAATACATTTCCTTGCCTGCTTAACTCCTCTTCAGATGCAGCTGGAGGCATGAGATTACGCTCCATGCAAGGGTTCCTCCCCTGGTAAGGTTGAAGAGGCCCTTTCGGCCAGCTTTTATCTGAAAATACATGCAGAAAGTTACCATAGACACCCAGAAAGATGTGTCAAACATACCAAAGGTATGCACAAAAGCATCAAACTTACTCAGCATATACTCAGGAGGATCTGATGGGGACAATGTCAGCAGGGTTTCAACTGTCCCTTCTGACACTGTTGATTCCTGAGTATCTTTCTGACTTGAGTAAGATCTCATTGAGCCTCCTGAGGTGGGCAAAGAAAACAAACAAAACATTACAGGCTGCATTGATTATTCTGTTTCAGAACAACGATCAACAACTTTTGATATGTAGTACACTGCATGTACCTGTGTCATCAGTTGAGTCCACAATGAGCCGCTGGGTGTCGAACAAATTTGTGTTGTTGGTAATAGAATTATTAATAGTGCTACGGTTGACATTAAATGATAGTCCTTGAGTTGGGTTTAGGGTAGGGCTCAAACCAGACGTAAACAAGCAAGCTGAAATTAATTAAGAACAAATATTTAAGATGTTTTGCTTATGCCCAGTAAGTCCAGTAAGGCATCATGACAGAGAAGTACTCACATTTCTGCCGTTCCCAAAGAACTGGCAGCTCTAAGAACCGTTCTTCAACACACAGAGCAGTTAATCGGGCTTCAGCATCCTGGTCCCAGCAGTCTTCCATAGTTTCACGAACCAACTTAATTGCAGTTGAATCTTTCCATGTTTCAGGGAAAAGTGGCCTAGCTTTGTGGCGAACAATCAGCACTTGCATTTGCTCGAAAGTAGGATGATGACCTATAATGTTAATAATGGAGAGGATTTCAGGTAATAATAAAAGAGCAAGTCAAAATTATCTTGGTAAGCAATCACTATGAACACCAAAATTACCTATTTCAGATTCAAATGGCATACGATATGGTGGAACTTCAGATCCAGTTTGATACAAATCAGAACACCGACAAGATAACTCCCAAACGACCAAACCAAGAGCATAAACATCAATTTGCTTCAGAGATGATTCACAATCTCTCAAATTTACAGCTCCCTCCAACACTTCAGGAGCCATGTATCTCATAGTCCCAACCTATAAATCAAAAACAGAAAAATACAAAAACAATGAACATTTAATGAAACACAAAACTGCTGATGCTGCTTTGAAAAGCTTGAAAAACTATAAAAAGATACTTACATCATTAATAGACTTTGTCTCAGCATGCTGCTCTTCTCCATTTTGATAATACTTAGATCCTACAATCTTCATAGCAAATCCAAGATCACACAGGGAACATGACAGATCAGCATTTACCAAAATGTTCCTTGTGTTTAAATCTCTGTGGCTCACACAGGGTTTTTCTTTGTCTGAAAGTTCAAGATAAGAGAATCATGTATTTAGAAAGAGTCAAAGTAAAATTTTAAATAAAGAATGAAAAAGAACACACAACATACCTCCTTTGCGCATGTCAGTGTGAAGATGTGCGAGACCTTTAGCAATAGAAAGGGCCATACGGCAAAATGTTGGCCAGTCAACAGTATTTGTACGCAAGTAGTCTTGCAAGCAGCCATTGGGAGAGTGTGACAAAACCAATAAATACTCAGGGCTTCCATCCATACTAGGCCTCTCATCGCATCCTGTAATAAATTTTTATGATGGATGAAGAAAGAATTGCATCATTGCTAAATCCAATGTTGGAGAATAATGAATCTTACCATAGTACTTAAGGAGAGACTGGCACTCAGACATGAATGGTAAGCAATAAATATCTCTCTCATTCAAGAAGTAAGTCCGATAATGAGGGGGGAAGACTTTCACTGCCACTTCATGTTCACCGACTGTTGCTCGCCACACACAGCCATACCTTCCCTGGCCTAGGAACAAACAATGGGTATTCCATTAAGTATTCTTTGATAATTAATTATAAACAACCTGACAAAAGTACATACCTAAAATGTTCAAGAATTTAATTTTGTCTCCAGTGTAGCAACCTAATATTTGACCATATCCTTGTCCAGGCCCATGTCCATTCTCCATCAGACGTACTGAATCTGGCTCAGGTTTCTGCGACCTTCGCATTCCAAAGCCTTGCCAGAAACAGTAGAGTGCGACAAGAAGTAATGATCCAACACAGACTGTAACCAACACACTCATTCCAACCACCAGGGTAGCTCTTCCAGACTCATGGGCTGCTTTAAGTGGGGAGTCTTCCAGTTCTTCAACTTCATTGTCATCTTCTTCTTCAAGGAAAGTGTCAGTGATATTTGCATTGCATAGGTCTCCAATACAGCAACAGAAACGCATTTTCTGGTTCTTATGGCGGCGTCTTCTCAAGGGCACACAGGCAGTGCGAGCACAGTCTTGCTTGCCTGAGCTTTCCCAACAACCTGAAAAACACCAAGTTGGAATCACATTTTCACAATAAATAATAAAGTAAGAACAAAACAAACAAGTGATAAAAAGCCAACCTTGTTTAATAACTTTGGTTTCATTGGTGATTGGATCATCCATAATGGCTGTGTAACAAGATGTTGGACACCTTATGTGCTGCTGATCAGAGGATCCCTACATTTGGACAAAAATAAATTGTTGAAGGAGCATAGTTACTTTAGAGAGAAAAAAAAATGCGAGATGTTTGGTCAAACATTAAGTTGCGATCCTACCTCCACTTCTTCTTTGCCCCCATCCTTTGAGATATCAGTAATGGATTCGCCGTTGGTGACAGGGCTCTTTTCATAGAATGCACAGAGATGCTGCTCCTGTTTCGGTTCATTTGCTGTGTGAAATCCTGAAAAACAAATTCAAACATAATGTGGTTGATAAAAGAAAAAGTACAGACTTCAAGGTCAATAAGTGGCAGCTGCAGTGAATGTGAAACTGCCTACGATGCAGAACAAGGGGGAAATAAAACAAAGTGTACTTGTGATAAAAAATCGGTGACCTTGCAAAATGTGCAAAGAGGACTTCTCAGCCCATAAGCATGAACGTTATGCACTGATAGGTTTCTTAAGTAGTTACTTCAATAAGTTAAAGATACACATCAATAAAGAAAATAAAGACAACTTACCTTCTGCTAGGAAAATGATCATGAGCAAAAATGATAGGATTCTCAACAAACCCATGATTTTTGACAAATCTTTTCTTGCTAGTCCGAAAGTTCAAGGCGTCAGCATATTACCAAATCGGGTGCCTACTACCATCATGAACTGTGCCTCCCATCCAGTTTGACAGTTTGGAGGACAATCCTAACCTGCAGATACAAAACAGGATACACACTTGAATTAATAAATTATATGCACCGATACTGAATTCACTAGTTTTTTTTAGAGCTTTCAGGGGTGAAGAACCCAAGTTTAAACCTTGCTAATCAAAGTATAATCTAATAAACAAGAAAAGACGCACGCACTTCACTGAGCACCATAATAAATGCATAGCACAGCAGACGAAACACAACATTCTATTCATAGTAAGGACCAGGCACGAAAATGGGCTATCAAAACTTGGGTACCCAAACAAAGATTAATCCTCGAGGTTATTTGTTAACTCTGACAAAAACACCGAAACATTTATGTCTACGAAAAACCGTATAAAAGAGTGTGGAAATAGGCTCTGCACAGAAAGGCTTAATACTTGGACCCAGGAAACATGTTTTGCACCTACCTTTCTCGTAATACCGAAGTTCTAATGAGGCTTCACCACGATACGCAACGCAGATAAAGTTTTTTTCCAGCCATTTCGCGCAAAAAACAAGGAGTCTGACGTGTTTTTCCAAAGAAAAGCTCTACTCGGCTTGCTGGAGGGTGGGGTGCGGCGGTGCGGGCGGGAGAGCGACGCAAAGCAAAGGCCCCAAAGGGGTGCGAAGGGACAAGGGACAAGGGGGGGGGGGGGGGGGGCGAGGGAGCGCCAGACAGCAGACAGTCTCGCCGGTCACGTGACGTCTGGGTACCCCTCCCCCTCCCTCCTGTCTCGGCGCCCCCTTGCCCCTTCCCTTTGGCCCTTGTACCCGGTCTCTCTCCATCTCCCTCCCTCCCTCTCTCTCTGCACAAGCAGCACGCACCGCCGGTGTGGGGTGTGGGACGGTGTAGGACAGTGTACTTCGCCGGAATCCAACGCTGTTTCTGTTTCTGCAACGTCGCTTGCCACCAAGCAGTTTCTAACGCCAGTGCACGGCGAGGCTTCGTTTCGTTACAGGTGCGTGCAATTCACGTTGCGTCAGGACCAGATGCAAGGAAGACCCTCAATGGAAGCTTCGGCGTCCAAGGAAAATCAAGCAACGCCTCTTACAATTAAAATTATTTGACCCAATTAATGGAAACAACGCCGGAATCCACGGACCAAGTGTGACAGCAACGCTAATATACCAATACCATTAGAACCAAGAAATCTGATGACTTGTCAATGTGATAAGGAGGAGGAGGAAGTAGATAAAAAATTAAGACAGATTCTTTTGATTTTTTTTTGTTTCATTTAATACCACAAAAAAAAAGATGAAATAATCCACATTTTCCAGCCAAGCTGCCTCTTTGCTTAAGGGAACTTACCCCTACAACGCTTCCTGAACCAGATCTGATGTAAGTAATGGCAAATGTTGTCATGCAACAATGCAAAAACACTCCATACCAGATGCAGTTCATAATCATTACACTAACACTATGATTAATAATTAATATCATAAAACCCCAATAGAATAACCATTTCACCTTGATTCTTAAAATTACCCAATCAAACATGATAAGATGAATGCAATTGATTAACATTCAGAAAAGCAACATAGTTGATGTAAAGTTTCAGACACTGATAAAACAAATTTAAAAAAACAAATCAAGATTACACATCCTGGACAATTTGTGTCCTTTCCAGTAGGAGTGCAATTGTGATCAAATCCAACCATGATATTCAAAAACAGAAGTTGGATTTCTTTTAACACTTCCAAAACAAAGGTAATGTTTTAAAAAACATGAAAGTGTTGACCATCACTTTACCCCAACAAATACAATCCACAAACCAACCAAAATGGACATTAGGCAATTCAATAACACAAAAGAAAAATGGACTGTCAAAGTCATAATTATGAAATTCATATGTAATACCCTGCATTGAAATAGGATGATACATCATTAAGAAAAATTCATTTCATGGCCAGTCTTGAATTAAGTACATACAAAATTACCTAAGTACAAGAATGAACTAGTTGCAGCTTTTCTTGCAAGATACAAGAAAAACCAAATTTTGATGGAATACAGCCCATTGACATAAAAGCTACTCCAGAAAACTTTTTTAGTCAGAAAAATTGAATGAAATGGTCAACAAATGAATGTCATTTAACAAGCTATGTAATAATTGATACATGTGAAACCCCATGTTCATATTATTTGTAGAACTACATTACTTCACACCCAAGTATAATAGAAATAAAAATTAAAAAAAATTGGCAATTAAAAGTTTGTGACAAGAAGTCACTTTTAGGTCCCAAGAGTTGGAATAAAAATTCAAACCAGACAAAAATGCTGGTATGAAGTTGAAAAATCATTTTTAAACTAAAATATATTCAGGCTTCTTTTTTTTTCTTTTCAGTTTTTGATCAGTTGTCAAGTCTTATCTGGGACACCAGAGCGAAAAGGTGAGCTAATCCATAGGACCAACTTGGATGAATTCAATGAACAGGGGCGAGGTGCCAGTCATGTCCGAGGAGTCTACGACCGAGGCGCGGCGACACATGATGGGCGGGGACATGTACGGAGACATGTCGGACATGTCGGACATGTCGTGGTCGCGGTCCTCGGAGCCCTTGGAGTCCAGGGACGTGCGGGACAGAGACAGGGACAGGTCCGGGAGGGCGCCGGCCAGCGACAGGCGGCGAGCCACCTCGGCGATGGGGGCGGCGCCCCCCAGGTCCAAGCCCATGCACAGGTTGGCCGGGGTGTTGCCCTCCACGAAGTGCTCGGGGGACATCGGCAGGCGGTCTTTCAACAACATCCTGAAAATAAAAGGAGACAGTACCACGTTAGTTTGCTTTCCCGTACAACACGGCGGGCAGTAGAACAGCTCCAGGAAGTTCGACAACTCACCATGCTGCGTGTGAGGACACGGTGTGCACCTTGGGCACGGGAAAACCATTGAAGGGACTCGCGACAGGCAAAGAGTAGGCACCCAAGTTTTGATAGATGATCCAGCTGCCCAAGTCCATAAGAGGAAGCAGCACATTCTCTTGAACCTTATCAATGCCGTCGCAAGTTGGTCCCCACACAGAGGAAGGAATCAGTTTGCCTTTGGGTGTCTGAAATACACAACCGAAACGTTAGTCAACCACAAGAGAGACTCGAAAATTGCATGTTTATTGGATACGTCAGGTGAACCTACCTCGAGAGGCACACCATGGAAGACAGCATCCTCATACAGCTTGGCATTGAATGAGCCGTACACACCGTCATTGATGTAATACATGACACTGGTGATGTCGCCCTCTTTGGAACGGATCTCTCGTTTGGAATGAATGTTTGTGGCCAGAGTAAAGGCGGAACAGACAAAGTATCTGCCAGGCTCAGCAATTACTTGGATCTCAGGAGATGCGAAAAGCTCGTCTAAAGATTTGTTGATGACATCTGCACACTGCAAAGGATCAATGGCTGTATGTTAGAAACACTTAATTTGACAGAATATTTTAGACTAATATGTTTAAATAATAAATACCTCAGAAAAGTTGGTATTGTTGTCTCCAGGGAAGCCACCACCAATGTCCAGAAGGGTCATATTGAAGCCCAGGCCAGTGCCGAAATCGAAGAGATCCCTAGCAAGAGAGATGGCTCTGCGGAAAGCAGCAGGCTCGCGGCATCCAGAACCTACATGGAAGCTCACACCAACAACATTCAATCCAAGATCACGAGCAAGGGTCAATAGGTTGGGACCCTCAGTGACAGGATCACATCCGTATTTGATGCCAAGCTGAGAACATGAGGATGAAGCATCGCAGCGCATGCGCAACACCAAACTGAAATAGAAAATAATTCAGTCAATAAGGGATTTATGACAACAACTTGCCGGATCCATCAAAACCTTCAACAATGGCTTTAACTTACTTGCAGGTTGGGTGGAGGCTCTTCATTTTGTGCAGCTCAGTGACATTGTCATAAGTTGTAAGGTTGACTCCCAAGGCAGCAGCATGGCGAATATGAGAAGCCGGTTTACAGGGATGAGCGAAGATGATACGGTTGGGGTCTACTTCAAGGTCCAAAACTTTGTTGATTTCACCCTAATGAACAAAACAAATAGAATCACGAGATTAGGAAAGAGCAAACTATGGTAGAGAATTAATGCATTGGGACAAAAAAATATTGAATGATGTTGCTTACCTTGGATGCACAATCAAAGCCGGTTCCAAGTGCAGCAAGAATTTCAAGAACAACTGTGCTGTCATTGCATTTCACAGCATAATGGGGCTGAACACGGGGAAGCAGAAGTTTCCACTGCTTGTACTTAAAAATAATTTCATCGGCATCACAGATGTAAAATGCCTCTTCTTGGATTCCTGACTGACAAATTGCCTGGAGGACTGAGGATGGGCTAGTCTCTCCGTCCAGGACATGAATGCGTTCATCAAGATTGGTGAGCTTCATCTTGATTGGTTTTAATGTAAAGATAAAATAGAAGAAAAAATACTACTGGGGTTTATAATATAAAATAGTCAATCACAGGATAATAGTCCTGTTGGAAGCGTTCTAGGTTGACTCGTTCAACTAAGCAAACTGTAAAGAGAGAGGACAAAATTCAATAACAAATTCACAAAGATATGAAAGAACCACAGTATTAACATTAAAACTTACGAGGCAGCCTATGTTCGGTCGGGGTCAGCGTTAGACTGAATGGTACTAGTAAGCAGGTTAAGGGGGCTAGCACACAGATTCAATTGACAGCCAAGGCGGCTCGGCGTTGAGGGCAAGGTGCCACTTGTTCTGGAATTGGGAAAGTGCACTTGCTGGGCCTTGAACCAGCCGACCCGAGTTCCCGCTACCCTGCAACACCAAACAAAACAAATGGTCAGCCTTGACAAGTCATAGTATCATGTTTACAGGTCTCAGCTAACTGTATAGAGGTTTTCTTTTCATGGCATCTTTACTAGTATATACATTAAATAAGACTAAATGAACTTGATAAAAATGTCACAGAAGTTGACAAACTCAAGATTGTCTTCCAAAGAACACAAACAAAATAAATAATCACAGAAAATGCAACAGCAGAAACACACATAGCATTTGTCAATTTTCTCACATGAGACATTTTGAATTGGTTTCAACCTGACTATGACCATAGCTTAAGGACGCACAGAGTCACAATATTCCAAGGACAAACACGACGAAACACTTACTCTCTCCATAGAATACTTTACCTTTCGACTTTCAGTTTCGTCTTTTAGACGGTAGGTGCAATCACAGCACCCGGCCTCACAAGGACCCAATTGAACACCTCCAAAATTAAAGTTAGGACTGCACATTCCCAATCAGACCCAGCCAGCAGAGCATCGCACACCACAGGTGCTAATAGTCACTAGAAACAGGTACTGAACAAATGCGTTCCACTGTACTGAAGTGACCAAGTCACACACTTCCACCCGCACTGCTTTCCAGTTGTCACTGCACGTACCACAACTTCTATTCTCACACTCCTTCAATCCTAAACTCAGGCCGGCTGGCTCCCTGTATGACTACAGGCGGCACCGTCTTGCTAGGATCACGACAGATCGGACTAATCTGAGCAAGCCACAGTCATGCAGTTTTATACGTTATCTGGTACTGTCTCAGGAGTGACGTACAGACAAGAGATAAATGTGGCCAATGGCATGGGTGATGAACCGTGTTATCAGTGACCAGACACAGCTGGCAACAAGGCACAACTTCTACAAGTGCAATTTTTTTTTTCCCCCCTCTCTTGGGATTAAACTTGAGATAGCCAGCAGAGGCAACCAATAGAAAGAACAATAAGAAAAGAGGGCAACAGTGCCCACTTTTTAGAAGGGAGGGAGACAAAAACTTCAGAAAAGGTACAAGTGCCACACAGCAGTGTTCACCAGACAAGAGGGGGCTGGTAGGGCCTGTGGTAACAAGGCAGTATAAAGGTCACAATCTGACTGGAACTCAGAGCAGAGATCACAATCTTATTTCAATGCTATTGCGCGGGAGGCTTTTACAGCTACCCAAAGCAAACGTGTGAGGGGAGTAAATTTCACTTTCCAATTTCAGTGTCTTCAAAGAAAAAAAATTATGAGAACAAACAAAACATGAAATTCTAGTATCATTACAGGTCCTATGTTGCACAATAGGCCGTGAGGCTTGGACTGCGTGACCATCCCGGGGGACGCGGGTCTAGAGCAAAAGGCACCAGTTTGGAGAGACGTGGAACACAAGGTGAAACGTCACATTTGGTTCAAACCAAACCGGACTCATCTGGTTGGTCACGGAAATTTCTGTCCCCACATAACCTTAATCATGACCCTTGACTCAAGGACAGATTAACACCGCGGCGGCACTGCGAGGTGGCCGTGGAAGGGCGCAAAACAACCAAACCTACTTACATTTTGGGAAAGAGTCATGGGACATTTCGTCCGGCAGCGAGCTGAAACCCTGGCCAGCGAAATGCTGAAGGTTAAGCGAACCCGATTGGCGTCCGCGCTCCGCGTCGCGTTTCGTCCCGATTTGCTCACCTGGACGAAGTAAAGCCACCCAGAGGGCTGGCTTTGGTTTGATGGCGGAATGGTGGAGGCCTTTTTTTACTCGACCGGTGAAAATTCAGGGTGATTTCTTGATATTTTGCCTGATCCGGCGAAGCACCACACACTCACTCAGCGCCCATTTTTTCGAGTGGGCTGAGTGGAGGGTGGGGCGGGGTGAGGCGGGGGGAGGGGGGAGGCTGAGACGGCCAGGCACTACTTTCGCTACGGCCGTATCCTTGCGCCGGCGGTTGAGGATCGATATAGTTACTTCCTGGTTCCCGCGAAGGAACTACATGCCAGCGACGCGGCCGCAAGGACGACTCCAGCCGGTGGCCGCGACGCAACGCGCGCTCGCTCCAGCGCTGTCAACGCCCGCCGCTCCAGGAATGGTGCCGATTGCGCGGCACTACTTTGGGCGCGGGGGTTTGGGCGCCAGGGGCGGGGAAGGGAAGCGGGCAGAAGGGCCGCGAAGGTTTTTCCCCGCGCGCATGGTAACCAGCACCCTCAATCAAGTCACACATTTCTCGCGCCAAGGGAAGAGGAATGAAATTTTTCGCGACCAGGCGGGCAGCCGAACCCGAGGGACACTCGACAAATTCCGGAAGCGAAGACGCTCCGAAGGTTGCGGCAGACTTGGATGCGGAAGCGATCCCGCCTCTGTCGCCGCGCTACTTCCGGTTTCCGGTCTCGGTACCCGTAGGTACCCGTTGCCGCGGATGACGTCACGCCGTTTTCCCGGAAGACGCGGCTGACGTCACACTGCAGGCTGCGCTGCAAAAAATAGAGCTGTGGGGCTGCAATTGCTAGCCCCACCTTCCCGCGCAGATAACCGCTAGTGCCAGCAGACTGATTCCGAGAGTCGTTTTCGTCGCTCTGTCTCTCTCGCACTTATACGGGACGCCCCGTGAGTACGCGAGAGACAGAGCGACGAAAACGACTCTCGGAACGGGTCCGCTGATGCAAGGTTCGGCGGTTTGTTTACGGGTTCGCGGGCGGAGCGTGCATGTTTACGCGGTTCACGCTGCAGCGCGCCTCTCCAGATTGTTTACCTCCGCGGCTGCGTCTGGAAAGAACAACAGCGTCGCTCTGTCTCTCTCGCACCCATGGGGCGTCCCGTGCAGGTGCGAGAGAGACAGAGCGACGAAAAACGACTCTCAGTCAGCAGTGGCTCGGACGCACTCGCCGTTTTGCGTCACGGACGCAACCCCGTGACGTCATCTGCAGCGTGAAGAAGAGAGAAGCCCTGTCAGTGCGAGGGAGGGAGAGATAGGGTGTGTCCGGCGAGGTTCACTCACGACGAGGTGTCCAATGTCACATCCTTTGGACGGCGAGAGAGCTTGGAGAGAGCGGATCGGAGTGAATCCTACACTAGATTTGAAAGTTTAATTTTTCGAAATGCTCTTTGCGCTTGACTAGTACACTGCATGCCTCACGGGAAGTGCTTTGCCCGGATAGTCCGAAGCTCTGACGCCAGCCTGCCCTGCCGCCGCCAACCCTTCGAGGCGGCCCCTGGCTGTCTAGCGGCGAGACCCGAGGCGAGACCGCACCGCTCTAGGCCAAGGCAGGCCAAGGCAGGCCAAGGTTGCCCTCGACCACAAGGGGGAAGGGCAAGGCCAGCAGGCCGATCGCTCCGTCTCTCTCGCACTGGTGGGGAAGTCCCTGCAGGTGCGAGAGAGACAGACTGTGCCAGGCCCGGCCAGGCCGTGAAGCCGCTTAGGCTTGGTGAAGGGGAGGAACCGACCCGGCCCACTGTCGAGCGAGTCCGAAGCGTCGTTCGTTTCGTCGCTCCTGTCTCTGTCGCACTCACGAGGCTCTCCGGGAGGGTGCGAGAGAGACGGAGCGGCGAACCGTTTCCTCTGAATCACCCGAACTGACGCAAGGCAACCCCCTCGTGACGTCACGCGAGGCCATAGTGCGTATGCTAATCTGGTTGACACTCGTTCGCGGGCATACGGCGTAGTCCGCCCGGCGGGGTTGTAAACAAAAACAAAAAGGACGTTGAAACGACGCCACCGTAAAAGGCACGCACTGCCTCATTTCGGGATTCTTATGATTGGGTCTGCCAATCAGCTCGGCAGGTGTGTGTGTGTGTGTGTGTAGGAGAGAGAGAGACAAAGAGAGAGAAGGAGAAGGAGAGAGATAGGGACTGCATGTGCGGCCTTGGAGAGGGCGACGCTGAGGGCGTGTCCAAGGTTTCTCGGAAAGGCCCTTGTTGTTGTTGTTGTTGTTGTTGTTGTTGTTGTTGATTGCGATGCAGGCAGCCTCGGTGATCCCGGGGCGTCCGCCCATCCGTCCGGGGCGTCCAGGGGTGGTTGGGGCGGGTGCTGACACCGCGGGCCCAGATCGCCCTTGCAGAGTCCTTTCCGTCGCTCTGTCTCTCTCGCACCCATGGGGCGTCCCGTGAGGGTGCGAGAGAGACGGAGACGGACTCTCGGACTCGGTGTGCTGCTCGGGCCGAGCGCGGCGTTGCCGGTCGTTGCCGGTGCACCTCCCCCTGCAGTCCGATTCCGAATGGCGGCGTCTCTCTCGCACCGCGGCTCGCCGCAACCAGTGCGAGAGAGACAGAGAGCACCGGCCGAAAGCAGCAAAGCAGCCCGCCAGCGGCCGTTCGTGCCTTGTGACCCGGAGGTCCAGGGGGCTCTGCCAGCTTTGCGGTGGCGGGGCCGCGGGGCCGCGGGGCCGAGGGGCGCGCGGGGTGACGGGGCTGCGAACCGGGGGGCAGCCGAGCCATTCGGAACAGCGCTGTCTCCCTCGCACCCGTAGGGAGCGCCCCATGAGTGCGACAGAGACAGGGCGACGGAACGACGCTTCCGAATCGGTCGGCAGCATATCAAGCGTAAACAGCACAAGGGCAGGGGGAGGGGGAGGGGAGATGTCACGCCGTGTCACGCCACGACCAGCGAAAGGGAACCAGGAATCAGCAGGGCGCCTTGTGCGTCGCGACCGCCATGACCGCCATGACCGCCATGACCGCCATGACCCTGGTGTTCGTGGTCGACGTGATGGACGTAGTCCTAGAGCGGTCACGGCCCGCCCGCCCAGTACACAGTGGGCCAGAGGACCGGTGGAGGCGACCAAAACTCTAGACGCGTTTTGAGCTCCAGAGTCGCTAAATCGGACTCGAACCGAACGTGTGACCCCACCCGACCCCACCAATGGATTCCTCGTTCGGAGAGCAATCCATTGGTGGGGTCACACGCTCGGTTCGAGTCCTGTTCAGCGACTCGGGAGTTCAAATCGCGTCTGGAGTTTTGGCCGCCCCCACCGGTCGTCTGGCCCACTGCCCGGCAGGCAGGCAGCGCGCCGCGCGCGCGTGTCGTCCGGTTGCCTACCGCCGCGGGGCTTGGACAGCCAACACCACGACGAAGGCCGCCGAGGCAACGCGGAGCATGTCGCCGTGCCCGCTGTATGCCGAACAGTGCCGTCGTCGCTCTGTCTCTCTCTGTCTCTCTCGGCCCCACGGGCCGCCCCACGAGTGCGAGAGAGACAGAGACAGCGACCCGTTGGCCGGTCGCACAACGACGCCAATCTCGTCAATTAGGTCGGGGCGTGGAAAAAGCAGGCGCTTATTCTTTTGCGCGGTTGCACCATGTGAGCGTGTGTTGTGTGTGTGTGTGTGTGCGTGTGTGTGCGTGTGTGTGTGTGTGTGTGTAAGTGTGTGTGTGTGTCTCTGTCTGTGTGTATCTGTGTGTGTGTGTGCGCGCGCAGAGAGTTGGTGTGTGAGTGCAAGAGGCACGCGAATGCGCACCGAGACTCGGTGTTCCCGCAAACAGCCGTTATCCCCCGTCATCGTCGTTGACTCCGCTTTGAGACCATCCTCTCTAAACCGCGCGGCATTACTTCTGGAAACAAAGAAAGAAGTCTCAGCTATCTCTCTCTCTTTATATAATTGTTGGCGCAGGAAGATAATGCCTGCCACTAGCGGCAAAATGGCGGTCCTTTTGCGCATCTCGGCGGCCAAAACCTGCGCAGGGGGAAACTGGCAGCGAAAATCCCCCCCCTCTCTCTCTCTCTTTCTCTCTTCGGCTGGACTCATTGTTCAAGACGGCC